GTCGGTAGGTCGGTAGGTCGGTAGGTCGGTAAGTCGGTAGGTCGGTAGGTCGGTAGGTAGGTAGGTAGGTAGGTAGGTGGGTAGGTAGGTGGGTAGGTAGGTAGGTGGGTAGGTGGGTAGGTGGGTAGGTGGGTAGGTGGGTAGGTGGGTAGGTAGGTAGGTAGGTAGGTAGGTCGTGTACATTGTAGTGTATATGTACTGTATATATGTATTGTATATATGTAATGTATATATGTAGTGTGTATGTAGTGTATATGTATGTATGTATGTATGTATGCATGCATGCATGCATACATGCATGCTTGCATGCAGGTATGTATGTATGTATGTATGTATGTATGTATGTATGTACGGATGTACGCATGCGTGCATGCATGCGTGCATGTATGTATAGACAAATGTCTGAGTATATGTCTAATATCCATATGCGACGAACGTTTGTCCTCACGACCTGCTTCAGTCATGTCTGCAAGCCTCGCAGCCGGAATCCTGCAATGTGCTCAGATCCCCGACAAACGTCCTTTTTCTCAGGCGGTCATGCGCAACACCTGGAGTGACATTGCCCCGCCGACAAACGTTGCGAAAGGGTTGATTGGGGTTGGCGAGTGCTGCAGAAGTTGAACCAACCTGCCGACAGCAACGGGCAATGAGCCCTACATGTTAAACCCAGTCTTTCTCGCCGGGCTGCCAACGCGGCACGCAGTTTTCTTTTCACTACAAGTAGGTCACTGTTCGATGATGCTTCTCAGCGTTATCAGTGCTGTGCTGGTTCTTATGACGGCAGCTTGCAATCATTGGTATCTTTTCCATAACTTTTCGCACTATAGAAGCAAGACGTATGCTGGAGAGTTCCTCTTGCCGGAGCATGTGTCGTCTCAGTCTCAGCACTGCTAAACTATGACCACTGGACTCGAAACCACACGCACCTCTCCACACGCTTGACAATATATATATATATATACATATATACATATATATATATATATGTCGTATTCTCTACCCTTTACAATTGAATACCGACGCAGAGCAAGGTAGGCTGAGTCTGATACTTTGAATCTTGATGTTCTGCCCTTCATATGTTCATATGCCCTACTCATGCATATATTCTTTTGGCTCCAACATTTTACTACCGATTCCTCCTTGTCATCAGCATTGTCGTGTTTTTTTTGCCGTCGTTGTTGTTGGTTTGCTCTGAGCGCCGTTCCTGCGATATTGGTCGAAGCCAGGAGTTTCACGGAGGAGAGATGGGCAACGCCGAGCTTGTGGAGCGCCTGGAGCGGCAGTTTGCTGCGCTGGGAGCCTCAGAGGGTCACGGCAGATCCACAAAGGCTCAAGGTTTCTGTTGGCTTTGACTATGCGTAGAAGAGCAACAGTGCTTGCGACTTGGACACTTCATATCTGATACTTCGGCGACATCGCAGAAGTTACAGATATCTGGAGCCTGTGTCAGACAGTCAGCATCTGCATCTTTGGTCGGAGGCAGCTGGTGAAGTCCGCGGAGGTGCGGATCCGTCACCGGAAGGATGACGAGAAGGAGGTGTGGCGAAGAAGTTGATTTCCAGTACCACTTTGGAATGTGTCATGCTTCGGAATAAACTACATAGGACTACGTCGTGAGCCCATCTCATCAGGCTGGAGCCTTGACATTATTCCATTCACCATATTGATAGTCATAACATCACTTCAAGCAAAATGTCTCACGACGGTCATGTCATGCAGTGCTGAATGTGACATCAGCAATAACCCTGGTCAGTTTCAGCAATCATGAGGTAGCTAATCTCGATCTGGCATATGTCGCCTGAGAGCGTTGAAGCTTTGGCTGATTGTAACACTGGTTGTAGGGACGGAATTTCTAGCGTTTCAAACCATCTCACAGTTGCAAAGCTGCGACTGCTAATTGCCAGCGCTCTCCCTTTCTGTCACAGGTTGTTAATGTGACTGTCATTTGGTGTGTGTTGAGCGCGTATATGCAAGTTTCCTTGCCGCTGGAGAGTCATGCAGGAATGCCCAGCTCCCCTGGCTCGGACAGGTCACAGCCCCAGCAGCCGCGACGGCGGAGGCACGTTCGGTCACTTCCGTAGGTCTTCGGTTCAGAGTTCAGAGCTTACCGTTCAGAAGATATTCGTGAGGACAAGCAGAACAGCGTCAAGAAAAAGCGAGAGGGACAGACCAAAGCACAGATTCTTTCACCAGATACCTGTTGGGCTTGAGGCTCGGGCAGAGGAGGCTGCAGAAAGTTGGTGTAGACAGCTTCCGTTTCACTTCTTGGAGACTGCAGACGTTTCGTGGCTGACTGTGTGGCCCAAGACAGCCAGTCGTGCATGGCTTTCACCGAAAACATATCCGAGCCGCAAAGAGTGAGGCATCAAGCCCAGGCCAACCAACACTGCAGCTGTGACTACCTCGCGATCAAAAAACATAAACCTGGTCCAGAAAACGCAATTCATCCCTGTGTGCGAGACAGCATACTGTTGAAGCCTGCCTCAGACGATCACCCCAACTCCTTGGGGCATGTTCTGGCATCGCGAGCCATGTACCTTTGGGTCTTCCCGAACCGAGACTATGCCGTGGGTGCCATCTCAGGACGGGACAGATTCAAGCATGTGATGAGGACTTCCTGCAGGGCTTTTTGTTCTTGGAGGATGGGGGTTAGGCCATTGGATTCAAGTGAAAGGGGTTTTCGGAGTTGAGCAGGATTTGTTTGGGACATTTTGGGCCATGCATACACATTCGTGCACATATATACGCACGTACATATGTATGTATGTGTGTATGTATGTATGTATGTATGTATGTATGTATATGTGTATATGTATGTATGTTTGTATGTCAATGTATGTATGTATGTATGTATGTATGTATGTATGTACGTATGTATGTATGTATGTATGTATGTGCACATGTATTATATTAGGTACATATGTATGTATGTATGTATACATATATATATATATATTATGTGTATATATATATGTGTGTGTATGTATATTTAGATAGAAATATGTACATGCGTGCCTGTATGCATACAGACGCACATTCATACAGGCAGTCATACACCACACAAGGGCCATTATCCTTATTTACTTTATTCGACGTGAGCAGACACATTTCTGACTTTTTTGTGGTGTTAGGGACACAAATTTCCCGTTGCTGCTCAGGCGTCGTGGCATCATGCGCAGCCTTGGGTCTCTCACATCCCATCGAGTGTCGTGGCTGACGAAGTTCTGCCAGCTTGCTACGTCCCATCCCGTCCTCAACGCTGAACATGCCGGCCCTCCAAACTAGGGCGCAGGCACCGTCAGGGTCAAACCTGTACGAAGAGCCGTGCCAGCAAATATCTGGCATTTCAAAGTCGGGGCGCCCACCCCCAGTGGGGCCTGCACTCGGGGCTCTGCCTGTCCCAACTTCCACCTGTCCTCTCAGGGCGGTGAAGGTGCGCATGCAGACCGCTCAGCACCTGGAGCCGGGTGCCGTGCCCTGGGCAGCGAATTACAAAACTCATTGTTATTAGCATTGAAGTTATACTACTAGAGACTGCACATGTAGGAGGGCAGAAGAGGAGTGAGTGGCTTCCAAAGTGTACTCCAACAGATCCAGATTCTGTTTTCTAGGCCTCCACTTCTCTCGGCCGATTGGCTGGCCTGCTGCGGAGGCCGGCAGCAAACACATGGCGAGAAGAGATCTCTGTAGTGCTCTGAAGCACCTGGAGCCGGCTTGCCTGGACAGGCCTTACTATGGTGTGGGCCCTCACCTTGTGCAGGCTCGTGACGGGGCGTCAAGGAGTTCGCGTTGCAGTTGAGCTTTCAGGTAATTTCGGGGATGAAGTACTGGGTCGAGGACTTAATTCGAAGTACGAACAGGGGAAGCCTGTCAAGAGTCCTTGGGAGATCCATGTAGATGGTTCTTGCGCAGTCCGCATTTGAGGCCGCCCGAGTCGCAGGATTGTAGCAGGACGTACAGTAGCAGGCTTGATGCTGCACCGGAGAAGCAAACTCGATGATCTCAGAGATTGCGTTGGCATCCAGTGCTGGCAGCACATGCTGCTGAACTCTGTGCGCTTCGGATCCTACCAAGCTGCCCAGGCCACACAGCTGCTTGCTTCTGTCAGTCAGGACTTTAGACCCAAGACGTCAGCATATCAAGCCACGACGTTTCGGCAGGGTGGATCTCTTACCTTGCTGCCGGCAAGCAGGATCTGCAATAGAGAAGCTTCATCTCTGAGCTTCACAACCTCAAGCAACGAACACCCCAACCCTCGTTCTTGATCCCCGTAGCTCTTCGGACACCAGGGATACCTTCAGAGAAGAGCTGGTGAAAGACGGCTTTGGCTTTCCGAGGCCGGCGAAAATGGGGGCATCATCAGCATCACCACAAGTAATTGCGTGACCATCGTCAGTACCACCGACAAGCTAGTCGCACATGATGATGATGATGATGATGACGATGACGACCATGCCACACGCCGGCCAGGATAGCAGAATGCACTTGACGACCCCGTCAGCATCTTGTAGGTAATCGTAGTCCAACACATGGTCGGCATCTTACTGGCAATGTATGTAGATGAGTTCGGAGCCACAACAGAAATCTGGCGCAGCTGATTCTTGATGCCACCAAAAGCCCCAGCCGTAATCTGCCAATCCCCTATAGACCACATGGAAACGGGCCTCAGATCTTCGGAGCTGGCGCTTTCTCTGGCTTTTGCGTCGCCGCCCTGCTCCATCCCCTCTTCGTTGTGAAGACACACCAACAGGTGGAAGGGCAGTCGGTGATCTGGTCTGATGAGGGTGTCGGATCTCTTGGAGAGACCCTACACCCCAAACCCTCAGCTGATTTAATTGCGTAGTTGGCGGCTTCGTAGATGACCAGACTCTTTGCTTATTGTGTGCGAGGGTTCAGACTCAGCTCAGACCTTCGCTTTTTGACGGCCTACGACACAGCTCCTTGTGTTTCTTCATCCGACGGAGTTGTGTCTTGTTGAGCTTGGGCTTCTTGAGCTTCGGGGCTGGACGAGTCGTATATTGCTGCTGTCTTCATAGAGAACCTGAAACGACCCCCTCCCCAACAGTGCCAACAAATGATAGGGACGACGCAATGCTGAGAAGTCGCTGGAGATCAAGGGCACAGCTTGACTCACTAGTCTGCAGGCAGATCGTTTGCTGGAATCTGCGTATTCGGATCTTGTGAGTCTGGTACCTCACCGATGCCCTCATCCTCGAACCTTCCAGCGCTTGTCTTCAATTTGTCATCAACATGGCAGCATGGCTCAGCACGCAGGTCAACCGGCTCTCCACGCCACAGGCAGCAAAGCGCTTGTGGCACGGAGAGGGACCGAAAGGCCGCTACGCATATTTTTCGTTGTCTCTCTACTTTGATCTTCCTCGCATCTTTGGAGCGTTTATGAGTTCCTTGCACACAGGCTCCACTTCAAGTCCTGGAGATTCAGGCTAGGAGGTGGACGAGGTTTCCAAGGCTCAAGGGTATCCTTTGTCGGGTCAGGCCTGAGAACCGGCATCAGCCCAGGCCTGAACTCGAGCACAAAGCATGGAAGGTGGCCTCTTCCCAGGGTGGAGAGCCAGTGGAGAGAGCAGCAGAGTTCTCCCATGTTCGAGTTTGGTTTGGTGTGAAAGCCGTTTAAATACAGTTGTCATGAGCCCATGCCGAGTCGCACTGACGTGTGGATCTTGCTTTGCCTCGGCTGTAGTTAAGGTGGGCCGGGAGATGAAACCTAAACCCTAAACCCCGGACAGGGAATTCATCAACAGTGCAGGAGGAAAAGAGGTGTCAAAACAAAGCCAAAGAGATTCTTGAGGCCCCGGAAAGTCGATCGGTATACTACGCTGCCAGGCCTTTTCCGCACGTTCTTCGCTGGCTTTGCCCGCTTTCCTTTGGCCCTTGGGGTCTTCTTCGCGTCCTACGAAGAAGCTGAGCTTGAAGTTGTCTGCCAGTATACTTGAGTGGTTCGAGAGTAGGGCCATCAAGCCAGAGCCACTCGACGTCCAACGCGTCATGCTCCATCCGAGGCGATGAAGCGCAGTTCATCGCTATGGCCGTTCGACAGACTCGGTTGATTCGTATGCAGTTCAGTGCGGTCGGCATGTCATCTCAATTGTTAGCATCCTTACCGGCTCCCCGATCACACAAGCTCAGGTTCGGAAGTCGCAGCAGTGCAGCTGCGCAACAGCCCCTCAAACGCAAGCATTAGCAAGGCTTCGACCCATTTCGAGGATTCGGCTTAACGTAGGCACAGTAAATGGTCTCCGCGTGCAAGTGTGGGGTTCGACCGAACTTCAGGTGTTTACGGAGCTGTCGCTGGTGTCTTCTGTTGGACATCAGTTTTCCCGCTGGACGTGCCTCGGTCGAAGTTGTGCTTCCTCGGCCGTGAGGAAGCCTACAATACCTTTGCAGGAACGTGAGGAAGCACAGTGGCCGAGTTCAGTGCAAGCAGAGTCCGAATCAGTGCTACACGAAGCCCCCGGAAGGTCGTGCAGAGCCGTGTCATGAGTGAGGCAGCCTATGGAGCAGGCTCTCCCGTTGCTGAAGCAGTTCGAGACTGGATGCTGTCGCAGGCGTTTTTTTTGTAGGTTTTTTGCGCAGTGGAGTTCAGGTTGGGTAGGGCATTGGGCCAGCAGACTGCTGCCTGAAAAAGGCAGTTCTTCTTGCCCAAACACATCGGAGAGCAACGCACCTACCAAAAAATCAGTCTCAGAAAGACCTTCGCATATCTGACTCGATGTTCACATGCTCGAAAGATTGAAACGTCTATGCTCGGATACCTTGCCACTTTCTTCACATCCCTGGCAGACCGCAAGTACACCGGTGTGGCTGCGCACTTAGATCTCTGAGCTGAGCAGTCTCGGTACCACCCGTCCAGAGTAAAACAGTTGTCCGGGGTAGGCGAGTTGGATAGGTAGAGAGCCGACTCTCAGCTGTGGTACAAGTTGATTTTGAGTGACCAGCTGGGCTGCGATTCAAAGTCGGGCGTGGCAGGACTAGCTATAAGCATTTCCAAGCCGCACGCCCCCCTACAACACGTTCGGTCCTTGGCTAAGCATCGTGCTGGTTTCCTGAATAAAGATTCCGTCACGGTCGTGTATGAAATAACGAAGGAAAGCAGTACCAATGGACCAAGGTTGCATGCGCTCGCGAACTCTACCGCGTGGAGGGGCTTAAAGCCTTTGTCCGAGGCTGGTATCGGATATCTGTCGGTCGAGCTGCCGCCACATCCCTCTCTCTCTCTCTCTCTATCTCTCTCTCTCGCGCTCTCTCTCTGTCTCCACATGCACCCCGATGTGGTCATAACGTAGTTGGTGTTCTTGCTGGTTTTTGCGCCACAGAACTGAAACCGAAATGACAGTGTAGCCTGTGCGATCGACCTGATCCTGCGAGAACCGCCAGGATACTCTGCCGTTCTCATGCGGGCCGGTCCTGTGAATGCCGTGGCTTTGCTGCCTCAGTTTGGTTTGTGTTCTGCACCGGAGCTGATAGTAGGGGGCGGATCTTATGCTCTGCAGTTGGCGAGAACATTTGCGAAAGAAGTTGAGGTTGAGGGCTGCTTTGAAGACGAAGTGTTGTGGAACATTACCTGGAGGAGAGCATCAGACACATCTATCGAGCATTAATTACTTACCATCTCGATCCGAGTTTGACCGACATGAGCAATAAACCGAGGAGCCCGGGGACAGTCATTGGGTTCCTGAAGTCACATCGCCTGCGAGCTTCAACTTTACGTGGGTGAGTTCTCAAGGTCCTTTTTCCTGCCGTGGACTTCCTGAAGCCTGTGGTGGACAAGGGCTTGCCGAGCTGAGAGGAAACACCCTTCAAACCTGGTTCGAGGATTGAAAAGAAAGCACCAACGCCCCGAAGCCGACCAACCAAGATCCTCGCCTTGAGAAGCCCACGATACAACTACGACCGCAACTAGGGGAACCTGCATGGCATGCAAAAACACCTGCTTGCAGCCGGAATTCAGAAATGCATGACATTTTCATGTCCGGGAGACAACTCACAGAGCCGTGGGTACAGTGTTCATTGAAAGGCCCAACTTGCAGATTCCCACTTTCTGTTACTGCGCTAGTTCTTGGAAGCGCTAGTCGACTCGTGGTGTCCGCTGTCCTGCACATCTCTAGCTGAACAAACCCTCAGCAATTCTAGAGGTATACACAGATCTCCAGAAGCCAAGAGAGCGCCGTACTCGTGGGCGAAGCCCTTTTAGCCTGGACGGCCAGACTGGCAAATCTATGCGTTGCCGCCCGTCGGACCCACTTTAAAATACCAATTTTCTGGGCACGTCTTGCTGCCCCACCGTTCCCGACATTCCGGTCAAAAAGCTCCACGCAGAGAGTTTGAAGGCTTCGAGCCCTAAGCTCTGCACCCTAAGGCCTAACTCCAGACGTCTACTTCTTTCGCCGTTTGAACTCAATTTTTATGTGATTTCGGAAGTTTCCTGCACAACACACTGTCATGGTCCTGCAGTTGACAGTGCCGACAAAGCAGACCCCACATCACAGAGTCTGGACGTCGGAAGCACCAAGATCCTAACACCGAAAGGTCACCGACTTGGCCCCAAACAAGCAGTGAGACGACATGGAATGCAACACAAACTCGGATCCTCGTTGCCCTTTCAGCCCTCCAAACCTGTGCTTTGAAGAGGCGCCAGATGGCAAGGCCGACGGAATCTTAGACCTGGCTTTGAAGGCTCGGAGCGCTGCTGCGGTGTTGGGGTTTAGCTGGGAAGAGTGGATCAGCAAGGATTCCTCTCGAAGCCCTTTGGGTGTTTTAGCGTTTAGGGTTTTAGGGAAGAGGGGTTTAGGGGTTTTGAGGTTTAGGGGTTTTGAGGTTTAGGGGTTTAGGGTTTAGGGGTTTAGGGGTTTGGGTGTTCTCCGGCTGGCGAGATCCTCAGACGCAGGATACAGGATAGAGACTTCGACCCCGCATGGCTGATCAGGATTGCCAAGACGCTCGGGCCCTGTCCTCAGCCGCCTCAGCAGACAGAGGCCTTGTTCCTGTCGTTTTCCTTGTTTAGCTGTTGTATGCGATGTAAAGACGCACCAAACCCAATACTATATTCGGACTCTGCAGCACCCCTGCCTTCCGTCGCCTTTCTTCGATTCTGTGTCGAAATCGAGGTTTCATCATATGTCTAACCCTGTTTGTAGTGAAACTGCTCGTCATCAAAGCACAGCGGTGTGCTCATCGATGCTTCGTTTGCATTAGCAAGCGATACTTCATCCAACCGCTCGACCAAACACCTGCCACCTTCACAGAGCCCCCGTTCTAGAGGCTTGGGGTGTCTGTTTCGGGCCGTCCCGCTGGGTGACTGATTCGTGTCTGGGCACATGTTGGCGTAGCCTAGTCTGCGCAAGTAGCGTCTTGCTGTTGAGGAGGCCAACTAATAACTAAGGCGCACGCAAGTGCAAGTCACGAAGCTCATGACCGAGGCACTTACAACGCGGCTGAACAAAGAGGACCCGCATGTCTTTGCTTGGGCTTCTCAAACAGCTGTTGTTTGTCACCAACGCAAACACAGCAGCACATGGTACAGAGTCCGGTCACGTTTACTGCCGTGACTCACTGACTCCCGCTTTCCTTGACTTCCTCGCGCGGATTGCGCCAATTCTTGACATGGGAATCAAGGCTTGTGTGTTTGACTTTGTGCGCAGCCCCGGTTTCATTCTGAGGTTACGGTGAATCATGTCGTGCACATTGTGATGGTCACATCTTCACTTGCCTTGTGCCGTCTTGTGATAAGAAACAGTATGCATTTCCTGGGACGGCTCCTTCTGAAAGCTAGTGCACGTTTCGAAGCCAGCGTTTCCATTCACATCCTGTTTGCCTGGTTCGCTTCACAAGCCAGCTACACTGTCTTAGTGGGGTGAGTACACTTCTTGCATCCGCTCCTCAAGAAGCTTTCAGATGCTGTGGTTGCTCTTGCGACATCCAGATGCCTCCGTCCCAAGCAGTTGCAGTATCGTGGACTTGCACAGGAGCTCACCGCCACACTCAGCGAGCCTCGTAACATTGGCTACTCGGGCGGAATGCCGATGTTCGAGGAAGAGAAGTGCTGCAGAGTTGTTTTTGCTAGAACCCTCAAAACCCAGAATTCAGGAAGGGACCACTCGGCGATTGAAGGTTCTTATCAACAAACGGCCTGCAAGTGCTGTGACGGGGAGGCTCTAAAGCCTTATAATCAGCCAGAAGACGCCGCTGCTTCAATTTGCGAATAGACTCGTGTAAGCCTTAGGAGCCGTGAATTTCAAGCCATGCTCACATGCTCACAGCAACATCATCAATCGATGTAACACAGCGGCTCTGCATAACAACAGCTCCGGTCCATGTCAGAGTTGTGACAAGCTGAAGAACTCAATCAATGCTCCCCAATCCAAGGTGTTGCCTTGGATCTCATCGGTGTTTACCTGAAGAACTACGAGATAGACAAGCGACTCGGCTCCCTTGGGCTTTCGGTGGTCCTGACTTGAAGCGTCGCACCGCAATGCTTTCATCCCTGGACCTTGACTCTTGCGCCTCTGACTTCTTCGGAACAGCGGGTGAGAAGCCCTACGCAGTCTTGAACCATCCGGATTCCCGAGACCTCGGTACAGAGTGGTGTACGTCAGCCCTACAGGCGAGTCTAGCTATAGTCCAAGAAATCGAGCATAAATGCACCCAGCACGGCTCACGCTTTACTGACGTCCCATGCTTTCGAGCACGATCCGACCTCATACGCTATTAGTCTACGTGTTTCTGCTTCTCGGGTCGTGGCTCTGCATTTGCGGAGCTGTGACCCTGCGGGGTTCTAACCAGAGCGAGACGCCGTGCTCACAAGAGAATCGAGAATGACAGGCTGGGAATAGTTACGCCTACAACAGCAGCCAGGTATCCATTCTGATCCCAGAGAGGAGGCCTCTCGTGACATTACCTGTTGTGGCATGGCAAGCACACAAGCAATTCCCCGTGCTGCGAATACAGATCGTGTGCGGCAGTGCTAGCGAGGATTACGTGCACACGCAGAAGACGCTCATGGAACTCCAGCAGAAGAGTGCTGTCTTTCTCACACCAATGCCGGGAGAAGCATACAACACCCCCCAGCTTCCTGCCAACAAACGCATACGTGCGTATTCTGACACGGCCTTCTCACCCGAGATTTGGCAGCTGATAACCACTCCGAAAGTTTTGATAGCCCAGACGGTCTCCTGGATCTGCAAGGGGGCACGCGAGCACTTGAATGACTTCCTTCAGTATGATTTCGTCGGGGCTCCGTGGTCTCAGTTCAGGACCCACTTCTGCGCGAAGACGCTGCATTCATCCTGCGGGGTCGGTGCTCAGCATCATCCAGGCTTTCCACCCCAATGGAGTGTCCCGGTGTGGGTGTCGTGAACCCCAGGCTGGAAGCTCTTGACAAAAGTGAAGGCGCCCTTGGCGAAATCCTGGTCCAGAGATGGAAAAAGGAAGCCTTGCCGCGGACGATTGCCTTGCTCCAGGGCGATGGCGGTGACATTCTGGACACCGTTAGCCTGAAAATGATGGCCAAGATCTTCGCAGAGTATCCCCTGTAGGATCCGCTTGTGGTCAAATTCCTTCGTGGGGCAGCTGGCGGTGAGCTCGCATAACCCGGCCTGCACACCCGTTCCTGCTGTTGCTGCCGAGCTTGTGCTGAGCGAGTCGGATTGCCTGCATCCCTGCCATCACCAAGCATTCTTTGGTGGTTGTTTAGACTGACATCCGAAGACTCCAGTTTCCAAGCAGCAATTCGGTTTGCTCTCGGCAAGCTCGTCGAATCTGGTGCTTAGGTTGAGGGCGGGTTAAGGCTTAGGCCGCAGCATGTTCTGAAGCCGTGACACTCAACAAGACAGGAACGGTCAAGTGCGAAACCTTAAGCTGACCGGGTGCACCGTGGAGCTTGAGGGACATCGGAGCGACATAAAAATAACTGCCACTGCGTAACATCTGCTGAGGCATCCACAGTATAATGCTCAGTATGCGTCATCTCTAATACTAAGATGCAGCAAGATGTGCTCAGTATGCGTCATCCCTAATACTAAGATGCAGCAAGATGTGCTTGATGCATAACTGCCAGAAAAGGCCCTGCGCAGTTCACAAGATGCAGGGGAGTAGAAGGTAAGAAGGAATAGTGGCAATCATAGTCCTCCTGCTGTATTCACTCTGTCGATACAGCGGTGAAGCCACTACGCTTCTGCTCTGTTCCGCTAGTGTTCGTTGCCATTGAGCTCTGGAGTGCAACGCGTACTGCCAGGTGCGACTACGTACTGGATCGCGTGGTGCCCTTGCCACACTCCAAGAAGAATAGTTGTCAAAGTATTGTCGCTTTGCGTGTTGTTGTTGTTGTTGATGATGATGATGATGTTGGTGATAATGATGACGATGATGATGATGATGACGATTACGACAGGATGTTGATGTTCGTGGTTCATGATCATGTCTGCAATCACGACTCTTCTGGTAACGGCAGTGATGGTCCTGAGTCCTGAACCCTGCGCATCCGTCATAATTCTTATGACGCTCATGACGTTGAACCATAACGATGGCGAGGATTTTTTGACGAAAGGAGAAAGGAGGAGCCATGACAGGGAAACACTCGTGACCGTTGCTGCAACTGACGTTTCGCCGGGCTCCGGCTGAGGGCTGGGACTTCAGGCTCTCTGCTGCACTCTCTGGACGTTGAAATGACTTCAAGACCAACCCCTCAACCAAGACCACCAGATCAAATCTCTTCAAAAGTATGGAAAGCCTTGGACGGACTTGATGACACAGGTTTAGGCCGTTTAGGCCCAGGGAGATTCACTGTCGAGCTTGGGTCTGGGGGAGCTTGGGATTGGCGATCGCCGGCGCATCAGCCCACTGTGATGAATTGCGAGGGCCCGCTCGAAGAACTGTGACAATATTCATGTCCAAGGCCAAGGCGGCTAGTGCCGCAACTTCAGACGTGGGTGTAAGGGTAACTCTGCTGAGATGCCTTAGATAAGAGATTCTTTTCTGGAGGCCCAGCAAAGATGCGAACGGCTTCTGATTTCAAGGCTTCAAGAAGTCAGTTGTGCCGTCATTTAATGTAGTTTATTCCTCCTACTTCGAGCTGCTGAGACTTCGTACTTCGTACCAATCACCAGCAACCCCGCTGCTGAGGGCACGGAAGAAGGGCGGAACATGGCTCATCAAGGCCGGCGATAGGATTGCCATATATCCTCTTACCGTCTCTAACCTGTTTGATGCTTCAAAGAGTTGCCCACCGTGCATACTTGCATGCAGGCATACATACCATACAATCAACAAGACATACATATGCACCTACCTTCAGGAATGCATGCATACGTGCCTGCATACCTATACCTTCAACCGACCGGCCTACCTTCCGTCCTTGATGCATACATACACAAGTGTGTGCGTGTGTGTCACTCTGTGAAATAACTAAGTTTTAGTGGTGTTGTTTGTGCTCTTCATTGCCGCTTTGGTTCGTTGTTGTTCTCCGTTCCTGAGCTTGTTCCTAGGTAGTCGTCCGAGCTGCAAAAGTCGTATCTTTGTATTCGGGTCTGTTGATGAACGGGTTGTATCTATGAATCTATGTCAACGGAGGGTTCGACGGAGAAGAGTTCCCGTCGAACTCTGTGCTCGGAGTCTTTTGCATGGGTCCTTCTTGAAGCCCAGATGCGAGGACGTAGAGCTCAGCTGAATTGGATGCAGTTGTGCTGCACAAGGCGTGTCGTGAATGTAGTACAGGATAAACCTTGGATTCTTGGGCACGACAGTCTCAAGACTGGAAAGACACCCCGAACTATGAAGTTGAAGGGAGGCTTCCCGACTTTACCGCCTCTGTCACAAAGTGCTGCTTGCCTTTCGCAGGCGTTGGACAAGCTCTGTGCGGTTCGGATGAAGCAGCAGGGTCCTTGTCGCATCGCAAACCCGGCAAACCCTATAAACTGAAACCATCTAGAACGCAAACCCTGTTTGGGGACTGCGGGCTTTGGGGGCTCTGGCTTTGGACCGTGGTTGTTTGCCATAAGACGGGATGTGCAGGGCGGTCATGTTATTCAATGAAATGTCCAACCCGAAATCCTCTCCAAAGCTGGTCCTTGAGCTGCAGCGGATGCTGATTCCTGCAAAGCCGAGATGTGCAACACAACGCACAACTAACGACTAACGACTAGATCCAACATCAACAGACACACAGAGTACAAGCAAACCAACAGCATGCGCCAGTGCTTACCACAAACAGAGAGCCAACCGCAAAATTGCAAGCCTCCCGTGCTGCGAACCCGCTGAAGGTTCCGGGCCTATGACGCCCTTATGGCTTTGAAAGAGATCGAGCAACTGGTGCCTTTCCGGCCAGAGGAGGGCTGGGAGGTGCCCTTCCTTCTTCAAAGTCTTGTCCATGGGGTTGACAGTTTTGGCAAAGGGTTTCTGAGATGCAACGTTGCAACAATGCGGGCACAAGTCGAGCGGACAGGGGGTCGCTGCTGTCAATGTTTATGAGCAGAAACACTGCCCATATTCTGAGTCATGCCACGGGGTGGTCCCATTCGGATACCGTGGTCAATGCCTCCGACTTCTCGTTCGAGAGGTAATCCCAAGAAGTCCTGCAGTTGAAGTTTCCAGCTTCACTTTGTCTAGGGAAGAAATGTTCTTATGCTATCCAAAACTTGAAGCTCAGCCGTTGAACCGCCCTAGCTTAAGCCCGAATGTGAATCGCCAGTTCCATGACATCATGTACAGAAACTTCGCGTGGCCGGAAGCTCAGCATGCCCGGCTGCATCCACTGGAAGGTTTTCAGCTGCCTCACTCTCGTGACGAGAACCTTCGTTGTTGGGACGCTTGGCCGGTGTCGCCACGTGAGAGGTCCAGTGTATGTCAGCAGGCCCCTGGATTGTTTGCTTTGACCAGCTTCCATCAACATCGCTAACTCAGCTCTCGACATCTGAGGTGCTATTCTTCCCTTGACGAGGCCGAGAAGTGCCTCGAGTACACGCGGAAAAGCGTAGAGGCAGCGGGCTGAGTGCGTTAACTCAACGCCAGTCCAATGTGGCGAGAGGGATATCCAAGCGAGAGACGCCGAAACCTCTGATGGCCTCCTTGGAAGACACATATGATGTGCGTGGGTGTGTGTGCACGGATTTGTACTTTCGGATGGAGCAGCATGTTCAGAGTAGTTCGGCTTGTAATTTAAAAACTAGAGGAGGAAGTCAATCACAGTAGTGATTAAGGGTCTTTGAGACTGGGAAGTCTTACTTTTTGTTACTGGAAGGACTTCAAGCTTTGGTTATGCGGCAGTTGAGAATTCTTGGGACCTGGACCGTTCTGGTTTGACTTGAATGGGGAACCATAGAAGTATCGAGACATTGATCCGCAAAACGGGTGTCGTGAACTCTCGCACGAGATTGACCCCACCAGGTCCAAAACGTTGAACTGTCATACCTCATCCAGCAACGTACCCCTAGTCAGCATCTGAATCCGTAGCCATTCTTGCGTCCCCTGCGCTTTGCTGAATGACTGCATTTGGCGACAGGCCCTCGACAGCCTCTCTTGTAGAAAGCATCAGACGGCAGACAAACCGGCAGGATCCATCGAATTCGTACGGTGCGCGGTCGTGGTCCTCGTCGTCGTTGTCGCAGCGGTAGTTCAGAAACCGTTTGAAGTAGTCTTCGGTTGTCAAATGGGAGGTCAAGAAAACCAACGGCGTCCCGGCCACATGGTTCGACATCTGGGACCTCGGAAAGGCACATGCGCGGCTAGGCCTGGCGACCCGGGGGGCTTTTGGGCTCAGCGTTTAAAGTTTGGAGTTTGGGGTGCAGGCGCTTGTGGTAACCCACTAACCCCTTATTATGGACAACCTAAAGTTGCGTATGTCTTGTCCACCCGATCCCTGTGATAGAAGCCGGCCTTTGCATATGCAGAGGTTTGAGTGTACGACGAGCAAGTTGCTCCAGCAGTCTAATCGATATTACTGGGTACTCAGGCTCTGGTTGGACTTCTTGATCTGGTATTGCACAGAGTTGTGCCGTCAAGGTTCAGCGTCCATCCTGCCTAGAAGCTCGACAGTTCTTGTGACCAAACAAACAACCCTAAGACTTGGCCCTCTAGACTCTAAACTCAATCCGAGTCCCTCAGCATATCATAACCGTGGGCGTCCGATCGCAAATCGTGAAGATGCTTTGGACGAGGTCAAAAGACGCAGCAGCGGGAGGAGATGAAGATCGGCTCTCTCCTCGGCCCGGATTCGAGGTAGATGGCGAAACTGGAACCTGGAGACAGCCTCGAGATTTCTCTTCGGGGAGGGGAGGTACTGGCTCTTAGGAGTTTCAAAGGCTTTCTTACAAAAACATTTGCACTGTGCCACCGAATGTTCCTGTAGGGAAGTAACTGTTCTTGCCACCGAGGCTTCGAACTCTGTTCGAAGGCGGGCCGCTCAGGAGGCTTCGGTTGAAGACTCTGCGAGAGCTTACTGCTAGTTCTGGCTCATGGAGTACAGGCCTTTTGTGGGTAGAGACAGAAATGCTGAGCTTAGCACAGCAGTTTCGGGTTTCGGGCATGTGCGTGGGAGACGAGTTTGTCCTCCGGCTCCAAATACAGTGGTTTGGGGTAGCCCGAGGTGTGCTAGTCTTGCGGTAGCCCGGCGAGACCACTGGACTTCCATTCCCGCGAAAAGCTCCGCACCCCCACCCTTTGTCAGCCTTGTCCTGCTACAACCCTTTCAAAACACGTAAAGTGTCTAGCCGCTAGCCGCACACCGCAAGCGGGCCAAAAGGGCCTGCTATCGCCTGCTGCGACCCATGCTTGGACCGATTTCCGGCTTCCTCGCCTTGCTCGGCACATTGGTCCTCCAAGGCAGCGCCAAGGCCTTCGGGAGCAGGTCAGAGCTTCGACAGGCACTGGAGAGTTGGACTTTCGATGCGGCCTCGAGGCCGCAGCTGAAAAATGCCTGGGGTCCTATTTGGGACTGGGACGTCTCGGCTGTAAGGGACATGAGAGGCCTCTTCCAAGATCTGAGCAGCTTCGATGAAGAAATCCAGTACTGGAACACATCACAGGTAACTGATATGAGCCGCATGTTCTACGGAGCAAGGGCCTTCAACCACCCAATCGAGGCTTGGGACACATCGGCAGTCCTTGACATGAGCCACATGTTTCGTGGGGCATCAAGCTTCGACCGGCCGATCGGAGCATGGAACACCGCAGCGGTCAAGGACATGAGCCATATGTTTCGCGGCGCTTCACAGTTCAACCAGCCCATTGGCGCGTGGGACACCAACTCCGTGACCGACATGAGCTACATGTTTTACGCTGCTTCGCACTTCAACCAGCCGATCGGAGCTTGGAACACTTCCGCAGTTGGTGACATGAGTGGCATGTTTGCGGAAGCCAGCCACTTCAACCAGGGCCTGCGCGACTTCGACTTCGAAGATGAGAGCACGGCAGACATCCGAGTCTCCCTTCACTGGCATCGCCACCGAGACAGCATTTGCAGGTGGGACACCTCGTCCGTGAAGAACATGAGCTGGATGTTTTATTCTGCCTCGGATCTCGACCGGACACTCTATGTAACACGTGGCTTCCGTAGAGTGGCTCGAATTGAGAAAACTCTCATTTGCGCTATTGGCAGATGGAATACCTCAGCGGTCAGGAGCATGAGCCACATGTTTCGTGGAGCTTCACAATTCAACCAGTCAATTGGCGCGTGGGACACCAACTCCGTCACCGACATGAGCCATATGTTTCGTGGCGCTTCACAGTTCAACCAGCCCATTGGCGCGTGGGACACCGACTCCGTGACCGACATGAGCTACATGTTTTACGCTGCTTCGCACTTCAACCAGCCGATCGGAGCTTGGAACACCGCAGTGGTCAAGGACATGAGCCACATGTTTGGTTCAGCTTCACAGTTCAACCAGCAGATCGGCACGTGGAGCACGTCAGCCGTGAAGGACATGCGCCACATGTTCCATGGAGCTAGCAAATTTAATGAATCCATCGCCGCGTGGGTCACCGACGCAGTGACGGACATGAGCTACATGTTTTGCTTCGCTGATGACTTTAACCAGCCAATCGGTGCGTGGAACACGTCATCGGTGACTAGCATGGCAGGCATGTTTGGTGGTGCTGTTCACTTCAACCAACCTATCGGCTCGTGGAACACTTCCTCGGTCATGGATATGAGTCGCATGTTCATCTATGCAGTTGCTTTCAACCAAGCGCTCAGTGAATGGATCACATCTGCTGTTCAAGACATGAGCCTCATGTTCGCGGATGCCGCCATCTTTAACCATGCGATCAGCACCTGGGACACAAGCTCCGTAACCAACATGAGTTACATGTTCGCAAGTGCAATATGCTATGATGGTCTGTTCTCGCAGCCGCCCACAACAATAACAAGCTGGGTTGATGGAGGAACATTTAACCAGCCGATTGGCACATGGAACACTTCGGCCGTGACGGACATGAGTTACATGTTTTATGGTGTGGACCTGTTGTCGTATTCGGACTGGTGGCGTTGCATGGGCGTAAACATGTTCGACTCCCGCTTCCAAGGTTCGCCAAATTCTTTCAACCTTTTCAACAAGCCGATTGGTGGCTGGAACACATCCGCTGTCACCAATATGAGCCACATGTTTCATCGAGCGATTGCTTTTAACCAAGCGATTGAAGCTTGGGACACCTCGGCAGTCAAGGACATGAGCAAGATGTTTACAGGTGCCAGATCCTTCAACCAGCTTCTGTACACCTGGGATGTGGATCAGGCCCGTGGAGCAGACGCCATCATGGACCAGGCTGCCTTCTCGGAGGTGGCCAAGTGTGCCATGTGGCAGTCGTGGCGTCCACCCTCTGGCATTCCGAAGTCAGGTGGAGCAGCCTGTCCAGACTGTCATCTCCGTGATTGTCCCACTAACGACTTGGTTTGCATTCAGGGTACCTGCAGACCTCTCAGCGAAGGCTTCATCCAGCTCGGCAAAGCTCAGTGGGCCCAGCCTCTCTCTTCGTCAAGCGCCACTCGCGAGGGTTGCAGGGATACTTGCCAGTCCTGGGCCAATTGCTCAGGATATGTGCTGCAGCCGGACAGCTGTGTACTGCTCCATGACAGCGGCTTCCCGGACAAGCAGAACCACACAGGTCAGAGCATGGCATTCGCAAAATTTCAGTGCTCCACTTTCGCATGCCCAGTTGGGAGCAATCGGTCTGAAGCACCCGGCGACCCGGTCACTGCTGCTTCTTGCTGCACTTGTTTGCCACACCTGGTGGAGGATCCAAGAGTCAAAGCTCCTGCTCTCGCCTGCACCTGCCCTCCTCACCAGTATGCCAACCATTCAGTGCAGAACGGGGAGAGAACGGTGCAATGTCACAGCTGTGGCCCAGGCTACGAGCTGAATCCCAGTGGCTGGGGCGCTCCTTGCAAGAAATGCCCGAGCGGCACGCATTCTACCGGCGCCGCCTGCACAGCGTGCCCTGCCTTTTCCAAGTGGAGCGGGGCTGGATGCGCCTTCGACTGGGTGCTGTCGCTGATTGTGCTTACTGCGGTTTTGAGTGTGGTGGCAGCGATAATCACGGTGAGGCGAAAGTATATGCGCCGAAAGGAGCTGCAGCGACAAAGGGAGCTGAGCGAGAGGGCGGTCCGCCAGCTCTGCCTGCAGGAGGAGGGCTTGCAACGGGCTCAGCGAGTAGAGGCCCGAAACCAGCAGGAGCTGAGGGTAGCACAAGCCGAGTCGCTCTGCGTCGAGCTGGAGCAGCGCGCGCAGCGCAGCCTGTTGGCCGGAGTAAGCATGCGCTATCTCTTATCAGAGGACTTCACACAGCTAGCCCGAGACCGGGCCAGAAGCGATGACCCAACTTTCAACGACCTGAAGGAAGCCTTCTGGCTCGGTGAAGCTCCGATCGGTGAAGACGTCCTATGTCCACGTGACAGACGCCTGGGGTGCGCACTGGTTGATTGGATTGCAGAAGCGGATGCTCCACCGCAAACTCACTTCATGTCGTGGACGTGGCGCTATCGCTTGTCGCAGGTCCAGAATGCGTTGGAGATGTACCAGAAGCAGGCGACGAATGCGACGATGCTTCCGAACATCGCTTTCTTCATGTGCTTTTTCGTGAACAATCAGTTCCGTGTAATACTTGAAGAGAGCAGCTGCGACAACTTGGACACAGTGTTCCGGCAAAATCTCATGCGTTGCGGTCAGATGGTGGCTGTTTTGGACACATGGGAACAGCCTGTGTATCTTTCGAGAGTTTGGACGATCTACGAACAATTTGTGGCATCGTCTCTAGACATCCCGGTCACCTTCGTGATGCCTGAAGCTGCAGGCGCTTCCCTGCAAGAACAGATCATGCGTGGAGAAGTCGGCATCACCAAGATTACAAGCTCCATCAGCATGCTCGATGTCGCAAAGGCAGAGGCATGGAAACAAGAAGATGAGATCAAGGTCAAGGCTGCCATCCAGGACAGCGTTGGCTTCGACCGCGTGAACAAGCATGTGGCGCAAGTCATGGTCCAATGGATCGGAGAGGTGGTGAAGGATCATTTTCAACAGCGCTTGCAGGATCCCCAGCAAGGAATCAGCCACCAAGCATCCTCAGGCTGCGTCTTGCAGTAGTGTCCCGGTCTCTTTCGGCTTGAGGCTTTAGGAATCGCAAATTTGCTGGCCTGCTGCGGCTGTGCGACATCGCTACCAGCTGATTGGGAGAGTGGATACTGATGCAACCAGTGAACGAACTCATCGTGATAATCCTGTCCAGTCAAGCGAACTGGGGAGCATGACTTGCATGTTTTATGACTCAGAAATTTTATTAAACCAAAGAGCAAGGCGATACCGTCGTCGTTTTAACAGGGTCATGAACGGCACAAGACCGTGACTCCTAAGTGCAGTGGTTGCTCGCGGACGTTTAATTGTTGAGTTGATGTCAACAAGCTGCCAGCCTCCTTGACTCGAGCCACAGCAAAGCCGCGTACCAACATTGAATACGAGCCTCCCGCAGAGCTCTCAACAAAGCTCTGCAGAGTCGCCGGGTGAGCATGGCGATGTGTGACCGCATGTGACCGCCTTAAGTCCCCATCCCAAGGCCGGGGAAATCCATCGAACAGCAGAGGCGAGCGACAGGCATCAGCGCACCGTGCCCGGGTTCTACAGCGACATTGTTTTTCGAAGTGTCGGAGGATCTTCGCTGGCAACAGGCTCGAGGTTGCAATTTCGTTTGGAGGGCACCGTCAGATAAGTATATTGGAATGCATATTCCGGGGTATGTGTTGGAACCAATAGCGTTCAATATGATTTAAAAGGGGCCTCGGGACTACTAGGGACTCGTTGACGCCACCTGTTTGCATGGGTCCTTTCTGTACGGCTACACACAGGATCATGCTCGCCAAGATCCTGTCCAACGTTGGCGAGGTGGCGATGGGCATCGGCGCCTCAAGCTGCACTGAACCCGCTGGAAGAGTTGACTTCAAGTCTTGTTTGGTGCCGGGATGTGCTTGGTTGAGCTAGATGAACAGTCGCAGGTCTACCGATTACATGTTTCATGTGGGAAGTATGACAGATCAGAAACCTCTGTGCGTACAAGCGTACATAGCGCTGTTTGGAGCTTTGCACTAAGACTAGGACTGTCAGCGCGTGCCTCTACAACTATAAGGTCGAGTGACACTTCGGAGTTTGGGGTTTCCCTCGAACTATCGGAAACACGAGTGATTCTTAGAGTCGGCTTACGACTGCTCGATCGCGCTATCCCAGTTTCAGAACCCGTAAATCCAACGCTCAACACTATAGTGCTCTACCCTACGCAGTGTTCCAGCGAATCCAGGCCCACGCGCCAGAGCCAGCAGGCACTCCAAACCACCAACACGCCAATCCCTGAGAGCTTGATAAAATGCTGTGATTGGCTGAGAGGTGACAGCCTCTTCTTGGAAGACAGCAAAGAGGACTCGCTGCAGGGCTGAAAGCGATTTTGATCTGACGGCTAAGGCTTCAGAGATGTTGAGCGTTCCGCGCGTACTTCGGATGTCGTTCGAAAATCCGGTTCTCGCCGATATGTGGTTGGAGACAGCCTTGAGACCCGGACCATGATGGAGCCTTCACAGCATAAAGCCGCATCTGCACATGTCATGTAAACACATCGTCCACATAAGCCAGACATGTCGCTAGCTCATCTGGCCACTTCTGTCACAGCCGCGAATGCCCGAACCTTCGATCCTTCGGCTGGCGAGCCGCTGGCTTTGGACCTCTCACCCCGGCCTGTTGATGTTTTACCACTATTTCTTCCCAACGCTGCTTTCAGCGACCGTTAACATTATTGCGGCTGGTACCGTGAATCCTACGCAACCCCGAAGTCCTGGTTTTGAACCAGTGAGGACGCGAAGGAATGGCGTCTCGGATGCAGATCGGATCCTGGAGACTTGAAGCTGTGCTAGCTGCGAGCTAGCATCTGTCAGAAGCTTCCAACATCCCCGAGAAGAGACTTGTTTGGCAGGTACGAAAAAGCGGAGGACCCTCTCAGGGAGTCGCCGGGCCCCTGACGGCTGTGACGGTATCACTGCAAGGTGAGTGGGGCCGTGTCGAATTCGAGTTGCCCAGGTATGAGCTTCACGTCACAGCCCTTGGGCCCATGAAGCCGCTGGCGGGCTGGCAGGCAAGACTTGCGGGCCCAGATCGTGAAACATCGTGAAGCATATGCTGGAGATAGGTTTCGTAGTAAAGTTCTTCACCGAGTGAGGGAGAGTAGCATGGCATAGGGCTGCAGCATGAGACCAGGATACCGATAGCCAAATTCCGGAGGGACATTCAACCCTGCAGCTCGACTCAGCTTCGTCGATACCCTCCTCTTTGATCTGAGCCATTACGTGCAGCCTGGAGGCAGGCACCATGGCTCATTGCATGGTTCGCCTGGAGCGCTACTCGGAGGCTTCCGGGCCCTCGCAGCGGTAATACACGTCTCTGCGGCTTGCAAGATTTGGGCTGGTGCAGTTTTTGGTTGAGGTGTGTGGCTCGTCGAGCTGCAGGATTTGTAGGGTTTGAGGCTTCGGGAAAGTCATGTTACTGTTGGCGACGGGATTGAGGATTTGGTGGAGCAAGGTACCGACAAGGGGACTTGTCACTCGTTGCTTCTTGCACTTCTGGGCGAAGCGGCAGCAACTGCAAATCCTTCCACTCAGTATAACATAAACTGTGAACAGGAAGCCCTACATTGACGTGCAGCTCAACGTTTCAGCTTTGGATCCTAAACCTCAAGCCTGAACTTCAGACCCTGTAGCTTGCCCAGAAGCCTGAAGACAAAAGAACCCGGAGGCTCGGGACTACTTGGCCTTGGCCCTCAGGGTCGAGTGCACCAAGGCCGGCGGACCAAGCCCTCGACGCAACCCAGAATTTGGTGACGGATTCAGCTCGGATTCGGCTTGAAAACTTCAGGCATGCATCCACAGCTGATTCCGTTGCTGAGCCCCCAGAAAATGCTAGTTCGGAAACTCGCGTAGCACGTATAGAGGATGTAGTAGCCTATAGACGCAGGACTCCACAACCAACGGCAGCCTCGTCCGAGCCTCAGCTTCCGGGATTAAAGTTTCTGCAAAACGGCCCAAATGCAGAGCAAGAATGGAGTCCTTCCTGCCCCGAACCTATAGGGAGTCAGCATGAGCCTGCAGCAGCAGACTGGCATGCACCTTCCCGGTGCAAGATCGAGCTCATCGACCGGGTGATGAGCTGCCACCAGGAGTTGGGCGATATGTGCGGAGACCTGGCAAGCCCACAATGCAAGGAAGGGCCTCGAACAGATTCCTGAAATTTCGGTATTCACATAGGCGCGGCAGACACAAGGACACCACCAGGCCCCCACCTGCCCAACGTCAGGGCTGCCGACAGGCCGACAGCTTCACAGCCCGTCCTACTCCTTCTTAAATATGAGCCTGTCACCAGAAAGCCCCAAAGTCCCAAAGCTTCAGCATGCCAAACTGCTTACACTGTTTTTGGGAAGTTCTATCCCAGACGAAGGTTGCGGCTCATCGTTCTAAACTGCAAGCATCCCTAAAGCTTAAATCCCACATCAAAATAAGAGGCCCGAAGCTGCCAAGAAGTGGCAAAACGCTCGTCTGGATGGCACACTGAAAAGCAGCAGTGATCAGGAGTAACCAGCAGCCAGGACTGGGCCCGGGCTCTCCACTCAAGGAATCGAATTCCGAAGAGACAACAAAAACTCCCCCGTCAAGAGCAGAACTGGCAGAATTGAGCTCTTTTCAGAAGTCTTTCAAGGGATAATATTTATAGTAACTTCTACAGTATAATATACCCCAAACCTATTCAAACATTGTGCGGGCGAGTGGAGGCCCTTTGTGGGGGTTTGGGACCCTCTGGCCCAGGCCAGGACTCGCCGAGTGCGTTCCCGACCTGGAGCAGGGACTTCGTGGCTTGCGCCAGCGAGGCCCCCCCCCGTGCTTTTTTTGGTTTTTTCGAAGGCCATAATTCCTTCTTGGGCTTTAGGTATACTTTAGATGGCAAATCGTCAATGACGCGAGACCCCAAAAACTGCACGAAAGAAGAAGAACGGGTGTTGGCCGCTTCGTACAGCCAGAACGTAGTTTTCCTGCTCAGCGATCTGCGTATCAGTGGCGTAGTTGTCAAACGGGAGGTTGCAGCATTATGCCAGGCCCAGGGCGGGCGCTTAGTGTGGATTTACGTTGCTGGTACCATGATGGAGACGCTCTGCTACTTGACGGTTGGGTTTCGAAAGTGTCTTGCGTTTAGAGGCGAGGCTTTAGGTTGGTTGAGCGATGTTACAAGCTCGGTTGGTCCATGGGCGATGTCTGGCAGGCGCAGTGGGATGTCTTTGCGCAACTGCACCGTGAGACTGACGTTTGCCAAGCCTTTCACTGTTCAGCGGCACACTCGACGGGCAGACAAGCCGGCTCATGCAACGGTTGAAGAGCGGGAAAGGGTTGCTTCCGATGGGTGGGTGGGCTGCGGAACTGATGTTAGAAGCCGGCTAGATCTTGCCAAGTCTTGCTAGCAGTGGAGGCTGGGATCGGCGAGAAAGGGACGTCTTCGCGATGCTTCTTCAGACATTTGGCTGGACAAGAGTCAAGACGAGCTGCGTCTGCATGCCTTTGTAAGTGAGGCTCTGAACTTGGTGATTTTGACATGCTTGTGATTCGTGAGCTTTGCCGGTTCAGGCGGCTGAGGATAATAACATGCCCGACTGGGCCCACTTCCGACATTGTCTCAGAGATGCTAAGCAGAGTTATGACTGACAAAGTAAATGGCAGCGTAAGGGCTTATCTCGAGCTGAGCCAGAGTATATCACGTTTACATCCGGCAGCCCATCTTGCACCTCTTCGTGAAAGCTGACTTGCTGAGGCGAGTCTCAACTGTCATGCTTCTGGCTGATGACGGAAAAGGCCCAGAAGTGACAAGCAAGAACACATATTCATGTCACGGGCAATCAAGAAGCACTCGAGTTGGACAACAAGTCATACTGTAAGGGGTGGTAAAGGCCGTGGCCCTAAGGCCCTAAGCTTTGCCCGGAAGCGTCATTTGCGTCTTGGATTGTACAGTGCATTGACTCTGTGGATTCAACAGAACCTTCCTGTCCAATTGCACATGCGCTCTTTTTGCTCATTGTTGCAGCAGCGGGGTCTCCAGAGTTTGCTCTTCTCGCTTCGATGTCTTGCCAGCCCAATGGCTCGGTTGCAGCCAGGACAGTTCATCGGCAAAGCCTTGACGTGCCTAGAAGAGGCACGCGGCCAAACCCCAGAACTGGATGTCATGAGTGAAGTTTACTGGGACCCCAAAGCCGGAGTTCCGACACTGAGACGATACGTCGCGCAAGACTCTGCCCTAGGTCCCTAGGTGTGGTATGCGATGCACTTATACCACCTTATTCCCGCGATATTCCTTTTTCTCGGAGGGGGCAATATCAGTAAAACCTCCAGTCTTGAAGTGCTGCAGGTCAAGCCCTTTATCCTTAAATGCAGTTGTACAACAAGCACTGCTTCAGAAATGTAGGCAGCTGAGTCTGCTGATGTAGCCCTGCTGCAGGCTGCGAATAACTTGCAAATCTTCTGTGGAGAAGCAGCACAGCTCGTCGGGACTCTCAGTGAGTTGACTGTGACCTGTGGGCCTATATGCCTTTCTACCCCTCGGGAGAGCTCGTCTTCTCGTTGACAGTATGAGAGTAGGAGTTTTCAGAGCCTCACAGATCCTCTGAGATCGTCAGAATCTTCACAAGTTCGTAACGGCCTAGATCCATTTCGCGTGCTCGTAGCGTCTTCAACGGTTCGCGGTGCGTAGGGAGACTGTTCACAGTCACGGAACGGAAAGGAACGGCGTCGCATAACGTGTCTTTATAACGTGTCTGTTATTTTGGCCGAAGCGTGGGGCTGTGGGGACTTGGGCGTTGGGATTTCGTGATGCACGCGAACCACACCTCTTACCTGCTATGCCTCGGAGACAGTACCTGGCTCCAGGAGGCAGTGCCAGACGAAGGAGACGAGGAGGTGAGAAGTCATCACTCATCCGGGTCAAAGGGCTTGCTTCGGGCTTGTGGCAGGAGCTGTTTCGACGATGCAGTGAGACCAGTTTTACTTTCTGTTGTGATCACGTTCCTCTCAGTCTTCTTTCGAGAGCGGATTCTGCAATGTCGCGTAGCCTACCAGGCATGACGGTCGGTCCCAGTCGCCCATGCACCACGGAACCATGGTCTTTGGAGCGGCCTGCTCGAGCCTGCAGGGCACCTGTGCAACATCAGCCGCAACAACTCCTTCAGTCCTATTCACCCAGATCTAAACCGGCTTCCAGCCTAAAGCCTAAGCCCTGCGTGTCCCACAGTATTTGAACCTTTCAGGTGGAGCTCAACTTCCCTGACAATTTGGAGGACTAGCGCTTGGGGAGACGATTTGTTCATTGCTCTTGCAAGCTCAATGTTTAAAGGTTTACGGGTGGCTTGTTGGTTCGGACCTCGCTGCACGGACAACGGCGCTTAGACCAGGAATCCCGGAGCCCTTAAGCGATTCATGTGGAGACCTCTGTGTCACCTCAAGCCGTCATGCTAACCGCAACAACAAGCTCTGTTATCAGAAAGTGAAGTGCTCTGAGAGGATGAGAAGGCGCGGATGAAGAAGAAGAAATTCGGGCCCCAGGTGGACAATGCAGGCGTGGCAGTGATCTGCAGTAGGAATGCTTGGACGGAGAGACTTTATTTCTTTGGGGGCTTTGTGCCGCACTTCAGACTCATTGGGTTATTCAGGACCAGGCAGTTTCTTCGGTTCCCTGGACTTGAATTGGAGACCTGGAAAGAGTTTAGTCTTTGGAGTCTTGTGCAGCTTCTGATGATAGATGGACTCAACTATGCCGTTATTAAAATTCAGTACAAGTAGGCCTTTCTGTCCGACTTTCTTGTCGAAGACATGTTGGACCGTGATCACCGTGCAGTGCGGATTCTTGTTCGGTCGCAGTGCGCTGTCGAAGATTAATGCGGTATCAGGCACGACGATATTTATTGCTGCGGCGAAGTTTAATTCGCCAATCTGTGCGGTGAAACCTGGTTCTACGATGATTCGCCCCATGCAGGGTGCTCTCATCCCAGTCAGCCCTCTGCTCGTCTTTACCATGCTGATTTCGCTGACTGGACTTGAACCCTAATCTTGTCCTGCGTGCTAAGAAGCTTCAAGTCCCGTCTTGCAACTTTCGCAGAGTCAGATCCCGTCAGGAGAGCTCCTGGAGCAGATCCGCTCCAGCATTAAGATTCTCAAGGTCCGCTTCATTTGCTGCCATCCTAGCAACGGCCGTTTAAAGCATCAACCTCATTCGGGCCCACGAATTCGGCCGCACGAAAGCAATCCCAACATGGGGATGTTGGGTTCAGTCTATGGTCCCGATTACCACAGTAGTTCATAGCATCAAGGATCCTAGCAGGCCGCTGATCGACAGCACCTGTCATTTGTGTCGTGCCCTGTGTACTTGCAGCGCAAGGTCTTGCAATCTCGGTCGGGTGCCGTGGTTTGACTTCGCTAGTTCTTGTGTTGGCATTGCTGTTTTACAGCTTTGGCCCGGCGCTGGTCTGCATCACTGACCTTGGACAGTCATATAGGGCTCCAAGAGCCAAGAGAAGCATTTCCATTCACCCAGCAGAGGCACCATGCACTGCTTTCATTGAAAGCCAGAAACCTCATGCAGCATGCATGCTGCATGCTCCTGTCGGTTTTTAATCGAGGCTTGCCATAGTTGACCCGGACATGGTATGCTCGCTTTGAAGGCTCATGTGACTCATGTGACATTCCGATTTGTGCTGATGTTCTGCTGCACGAGGCACAAGGTTTCGGTCGCGCCAAGTACAGTAGCATTCCTAGCAACTGTGAAAGCGCCATGGGTTGTGGTGCCAGCACGACGTCGCCTGCACCTGCCAAAACAGATGCTCGACCAACTCGCTGGATCCGATTGAACGATGTTGGTGTTTTTTGTAGAAATTACATACTGTCTTTTTGTCTTCTTGGATTTGCGTAGAGCCCGAGCCCGAAATTTAATGTCGGGTGCAATCACTGTTTGGTGTGGGCAAGATGCATCCAGATGCATCAGTCTGAATTCCTGCGCCTTGTGAGCCTGCAATTCATGAGCCAGCCAGTCGTGAATGAAGACCTGAGTCAAGCTTTGAAGCTTGAACCAGAAGAATTAAGAACTGTGGGGTCCCAGACTCCTTGGTTCTGGAGCCCACCCCTCCTGCAAGCTTCAGACCTGCATCCCTAGAGCCTGCTGGGCAGCAAGCAATGTGGATCCGAGGAGGCATGGCGCGCAGCGGTACCACCGCCTGAGGCGACATGCAGTAGGGATTTCCAGAAGGTGAGAGTCGACCCTCGGTGAGTTTAGGCTGCAGGGTGCAGGATATCGCAGGACTCCGGGGTTCTCTGCGCGCAACTCAAGATTGAACATGATCTCACAAAGGTGTAGAGGGCGAAACCACGTATGTCAAGTCAAGAGGTTCTGAAATCCCGACGTCTCCATGCGTCAGCACCGGCGACCACGACGCTTCGAAAGAAATTTCCAGAAACCTCCAACACCCCGAAGCACATCTGCCACAGATGATGTCTCACCTTTCTTCCAAATTTCTGCAAAATGCATTCGTTTGATTTCATCTCTACGTCTCCCTCTGTCAGCAACGCACTGCCTCATCAAAGCATGATGCTTCCACCGGGTGAGCCCGCACTTCCACAGGAAATCTGCGATTTTGATGAGAAGCCACGGAGAGCCAAGGCAAAGAGGGCAGCAAAGGCGGGCATACTGCTGCGCGTTCTGTTTGTCTGCTGCTTGTGTGTACAGTAGTGCAAAGACTGACAGTACGTACTTTACATCTCGAGTAAAGTGGGCAGGCATGTGGCAGGGCTGCGGGCTGCGGGGCTTGGATTGTTACATGGTTGGCGCCAGGGTGCCGGTTAAAGTCAAGTTAACCCGCAAACTCCCCAAGCACGTTCGCAACACAAGGGTGATGCTCGACGTGAAGCGTTTGCCTTGCAGGTAGTCGATTTCGACTTCGCGGAGCAGGATGCCTCGGATCTCTTCGCTGTACTTACAACGGCAGGAGGAACATCAATGTGCCTAGCCTGATCCATAATGCCCTGCGGAGGGTTGGGCATTCAGGGCTTCTCGCGTCGGCCGGTCCAAGTTGGGTTGTGTCAGTATTTGGAGAAGGTTGGGACTTTGGAGTCGGTGCTGTGTTGGAGCTAAGTTCCTGTCCGACGTCGAGAGATCAGTGACGCCGGAGCGGAGGCTCCAAGCAAGCTGTCCTTGTACAGGTCTGCTTGCCATTTGCGATTCCTAGTGTCGCCGAGACACCTGACTTGTTTGTATTGGCACAGCTAAGCCTAGTTAGCGACAGCTTGGAGGACGGTCTGGTCCACCAAGCATCGAAAGATGCGTGATTCGTTGTGACGGCAATTTTTCAATTTGACCTGATCCCGTCGACATCACCTTGCTGCATGCCCTCTGCTCTCATGGGTCTGGGTTGTGTGCAAGTCAGTTGATGACTCCTCTTGCACATCGGCTTCGAAAAGCATAGGCATGCGCGACTTTCTCTCCTGCAGAGTCATGTAGTGGCTCCCTCAATATAGTTCCTTGTTATTGCACATTGTTGGACATGGGGCTGACGCGAACTTTTTGCTAGTCGCAGCTGGTGAGTGTGTTCGTGAAACTGGGGGAGCTCGACTCAGAGACAGGAGGGGTGGGTACAGGGTTTCAATTGGCAAAAGTCTTGCCGCGACGGGCAGGCAGATTCTTTCATTCGATGCGTGTGCAGAGTGCCTTCTACAGTGGCCAGTTTCCTTGGGCACGACAAGGCACATCTGAAGAACTGAACCGCGTGGCCTTGCACAGTATGGCAGCATCTGTTTTTTGAAAGCATACCGAAAGTCCCGTGCACATCGCATTGGGTCCTCTGAGCTTTGCGTCACCTTCGATATATTCTCTCGACCTTCCCCTTGGAGCAGCCCACATACTCGGTCCAGTCGATGCCAGTCCCTTTACACGCTTGACAACATGGCTACGCGCTCCACAGTTCTTTGGGTGCAGATCCGGCAGTGCCCAGAAGCAGAAGTTTGCATTTTTCAGCCTGATCCTCGGGCAACGGCTCTGTTTTCAAGCAGAGCAACCACTTTCAGGTCGGCGCTGACACTTTGTCGAGCAATCGGGAAAGGGTAAGAGAAATGCAGAAGGCTGCAGACTACCCGCAGTCCGAGCCCAAGAGCCTTTCTACGAGTACTTACAGGGGCGAGCCTCCAGCCAAACTACGGTCCCAGCAACTTCAACCGATTTGTACAGCACAGTCCCACTAATGCCACGACTAGATTGATTTAAGCAGTCTTGAGAAGGAAGAGACGGCCAATTTCATGATGACTCCCATGTCCAGAGCCACTTCTCGGCATCTGCAAAGTCTCCGAAGCGTCCGACGCCTTCCGGTCGAGGCTTTTTGTCTTCGGGGACAAAGGGCTTTCGGTGTTTTGTTTATGAACTAGCCGTATTGCCGTGTCGCTATTGCCAGGAGAGGGTGCATCCGCCGGTCCTACCCTGCCAGGTACCCCCCCCGTGANNCCCCCCCCCCCAAAAAAAAAAGAGGTAGACCTTGATCCGCACCCCGTGTTGCCAATGGCCCTGCAGCATTTCAGACACCGGAGGCCGACCATTGGGTGTGTCATGATGTTGTCCAGACACCGACCTCACTTTTTTTTGACTTTCGCAAAGCCTTCAACTCTTGAAGAGTTGAAGACTTGAAGACCGAGACTGCGAGAGTGCCGTTTGCTGAGAAACAAGACTCTTTGGCCGGGCATGCCCAGATTTCACTCGTAATTCTGAACTCGTTGAGGCTGTGTGGGCTGTTTGAGTGCGAGTGCACCAATATCTCTGAACCGAGCAAACGGCGTTTGCAGTAGCAGCTAGAAATGTCACAGCAAAGGGTGGTGTCAGGCTGTGGGGTACTGTACAGACTCCGAAAAACTCGAAGCTGTTGGCAATGGGCGAACGCGAACCAACAGTTTTCTCAGTCGTAAAGATTCCAAGCCTAGTAAGCTAGCCTTCGGCCCTACGCCCAGCGGTATTTCACTGAAGCTTCAAGGTAACGTGTACGAGCTCCGAGCCCTGAAGATCCTTCACCTCACTGGCTTAAGCTTCTTCCTTCCACAACCGAACCCCACCACCAGGAACCTTCTGTGCTTGCCAGGTTAGTCAGACGGGACGTCAGCCTTCTGCACCGGCCCGGAGCCCTGGACAAGGGTTTTGGCGCTAGGAGAAGTCTGTCTCAGCTCCAAGCCAGTTAGGTTTTTCCATCTTGGGTTCAAGGTTCCGGTTGCTGCCGGGCGCACTACCAGAAACGTAACTGTGAACCCAAACCAACTTTCCGAGGCATCCTCTTGGCAGGAAGAGGTCCCGGCTGCGAGAGATGCACCAAGCGACGAAGCTGTGGAGGCCGAAGTACGAGAAAAGGTTTTCTGGACGTCTAGAGTCTAGAGTCTACAGCTCTGGGCTCAGAGCTTCGGAATGCAAGGATTGAGGAATCTTCAGGCGCTGCAGCCGCAGCTGTTAAGTTTCTCGACAAAGCAGCGGCTGCGACTGCCGATTATGTACAGAAGGCTTGGACGAGGTGGTTGTCCCGGCTGGGTGGCCTAGTGCCGGGAATTGAACGCTTCTCGCCTTGAGACTCCCAAAGCGAGCCCTGTAACTCGAGAAACCAAGATGCAAGGTGACAACAACGATGAGACGACAACGGCCGTGCTAATAGCAGCCTTTCAGAACAAGAACCGTCATTAGAGTCCTTCTCATTGTGGTCACCATCAGTGGCTAGATCATGATCGCTATCGTCACCGTCATCGCCACCACTGCCGGCACTATCATCATCATCACCATCATCATCATCACCATCACCATCACCATCACCATCATCATCATCATCATCAACAACAGAACCGTTACCAACATGGTTACCACCCCAACCCTCATCACTACCGCAGCCAACATCATGGTTACTAGCATCACCATCATCAGGTTCGTACTGATATTGCTGCTGTCGATTTTTTTAGATCGTTATCAATATTTTTTCGTACAGAAGCATCACCACTTCAAATACCCCTGCCTACATCCACCACCCCCCCCCCCCCAATCCGTCCATCCATCCATTCACCAATTAGCAGCAGCAAATGCTTTTACGCGCAACAAGACTCAAAACCTGCTGCCCCTAAACCAAGGAGAACAAGGGGGGAGTTCACAGTTTCTCCCGTCGTCGTCGTTGTCGTCGTCGTCGTTGTCAGCAAGCAAGTAGCAGCAAGCTACAGCTGCAGTAGTACCAACAAGGACTACGTCAAAGCATCTGAGACCATCCAGGTCGAGAGCTCATCGGTGAGTGCGCGACAGACTGATTGTCTGACGAGAAACGCGGCTGTGACTGGGGCAAGGGCTCTTAAGTCTAGGGGAGGATGTGTGGCGGTTTTTGGCTTGAATACGTGGTTGAAGGTAGGTTTTCGGCTACATTGGCTGCTGCTGTTACTTTGGGGTTGCCTCGTTTGTATTGTGCTTGCTGTCGCAGACAGAAACACGGGCAGATGCACGTAGACTTCTTCGCAGGCAGTTGCTATCCCGTGTTCTTCGGGAGTTGCGGGCCCTTGCCACGGAAGCTCGTTCCGCACCTACTCATGCCTCTAAGCAGCGCCTGCTGACCCTTCAGTGAGGAGAGTTTTGCTTCCGGAGCAGAGTCCAAGCGTGAGCTCAGAGGTACCGCGGAGGAGCCTGCAGCCCCGACGAATGGGATGAAGGCTCCCTTTGCGACTTGTGTTTCGTCTGGGCAGCTGCTAGGTCCTAGGGCTCTCAAGTCGCTTATAATTTCAACTCCAGAGGGCAGCTATTACTGCTCCGAAGCAGACAGATGCTGAGATTAGTCCGAACCGATGCAAGCAGCATCAACCACGGTCCAGCAAAAGCTCTACCTGGCTTACACTTGAAGGGCCCGTCACTTTAGGCTTCCTGATTTCGGAGCCACTGCAGGAGCCTGACACTGAGTTTACCCCCCCGGCATCGCCGGCACCCAAAGGCTTGGCGGCTTTGGAGTCCAAGAGTGCGACTTACAGGATTTAGGCTTTCTGTTGAGACTAGGATGAATAGCATCTCAAAGATCTTGCTGATCATGCTGCCTTCTTCTTTTGGTGGTGTCCCTTATCGAGCACAACAATGACAAGTGTTCGAGGTGCTGCTTTTTCTAGTTGCCCCGAGACACCAAAATAGCCAGGGCCGCGAACGATCTCATTGTTACGCCATTGGAAAATTCTAGATTCCACAACTTGCAGTTTCGCCTTCGCCGACGACAAACTTCCGCGATGGCCTGGGTTCGCTGCGCGATGTTCTGCGAGAGGTCGGAGGGCCGCGGGTTAGTCATCGTGTCGTTAGGACCATTGGATGTCAATGGCTGTAGTTTTGCAAATAGCGTCATCTCTTCGCGAGCTGATAACTGTGGAGCTATGGACCTCAATGGAATCTCTGTCAGGGCTTCGGGCATGGTACATCTATGCAAAAATCTAAACGGCCAGATGCTAGCTTCATGGTGTCAGCACATGGAGGGGTGAGAAAAGCGGGCAAGACTGTCCAAGTCCTCTAAAACGCAGACTTCGTTTGCCCCAGCTGTGCAGTGTCAGGGCCAAGTTCGTAACGTATCCGAAGCATCTCGCTGACTGAGCGGTCAATCACCAGAGGCCTCCGAATTGCAGCTTCTGCGACAGCCTCCTACTGATCCCTTTCCTTTCATACTGGGTAAGCCCCCAGCAATGCTCAGCTATGCGCTCTGCTCAGGTGAACAGACCTCGATGACTTGCAGACTGGGGATATCTCACATGCAGAATCCTGTCATTGTTGGTGCGTCAGAGAAGTGTTTACAACTTCCACCTAGTTGCTCTTTCTTACGGCGCCGCCTGTGGTGTCGTCCCGGCTCCCCGCTCTTTTGGGAGGATCCCGGGGGCGTTTTGTAAGTTGTTACAATAGTCGCCCATGCAACACGAGTTGGATCCGAGTCCCAAAGCCTGCAAAGCAAGGGGGCCATTGCTTGAAGCGAGGCTTGGGCGATTCCCTTTATGTCATGTCGCAGAGTTTGCGATCCTCCTGGGTCAAAACTGCACTTCTGCCAGCGGGGTCACGGGCTGAGCTTCTAAAGAGGCTCTACAGTAGGCTTAGGTTTAGCCCACCCCAAACCCGGAAGACACGACGTGACACGACAGTGCCCAAAATCTTCCGAAGCTGCAGCGAGCGCGGCACTCTGTTGGTTTTTCCTGTGGACTCGCGAACCCTCAGATCACAGCAGCGCATGCATAAGTTTTCCGCTGCCCTTAGGTTTGTGCATAGGCGGCAGCAGAACCCCGCCTCCTGGCCTCTGCGGCCATGTGAATCCAACGCCTTGTTTTCGTCTCAGACAGTCCGGCTTCACGGATCCCAGGGCTGCGGCCGTCTGGGAGCCATGGTGGGAACATCCGGTCTCGGCGGGGCGCCAGGGGCCCTGGCTGACTTTGAGCGCAAGCCTAGCGCATTGACGATCGCTGCAGTATCCGGGAAAACGGTCAACAGCACCTGTTTGCGACCAGGCCAGCCCTGGCCGTAGCCGAGACGGCGGAGGAGGGCATGACATCGGAGCGAGCCATGTCACCCAGGAAGTCTTGTGAACCCAACTTTATCTAAGCAGTACTGGCAGCAATTTGCCTCGACGAATCGCCGCAGTGATTAGGCCTGAGGTTTTCGGACAGGATTCAGGGTTCGTAGGCTTCAGGCTTTGAGGTTTAATGGTATGTAATTTTGTGTATATCTTAATATACATATATATATATGTGTGTGTGTGTGCAGATTTGGAGTATGAAGTTTGGCATGCGGAGTGGACAACGCTTTCGGAGGGGTTGCGAAGGTGGGAGTGATGACGCCTGACCCAGACTGTCACATGCCAGCTGCCATCCATCCATCCGTCTGTCCATGCTGTTATGTACCTTCGGGCTAAGCATCATCGCCCTTGTGTTTTGAACTGAAGTGGCACGGAAGCCTCAAAGCCACCAGGGGCGGATTCTGACCGGTCCAACGAAAGCTTTCCAAGAGCTCAGATAACGCTGGTCGACGGAACCTCCGTCGAGATCCTCCGTAGCCCCAAGATGATGCTGGGCTGCACTTCAGCGAATCCCCGGTTGGGCACGTAGCAGTCGTTGTGGGAGGGCCGCCTGGTCCTGAAGCTGACACCCGTATCCATACTCATTTACTTTCAACTCTGCTGCACTGAGCCTGTCAAGTCTGGACGCATCACTTGGAGTCCGCTTGAAAGGACGGATGTGCAGTGGCAAGAGACGAAGACGCCGCTCGGCTTAGGCTTGATAGATTCTGACTGAGTCGCTGCAGTTACCAACGCTTCAGGATACAGTACTGGTCAGCAGTGTTTCCTGCTTAGCCTAATAAAGCAGGCCTCCCAGGATTGTAGTAGGTCGAGTATGGGCACAGCGGCTGTCAGGTGGATTCGACCAACTCGTGATGAAATTTCTCTCCATGATAACAGTGATATTTATGAGCATGTCTAAGCCGCGCACGGGGCAGCGACAAGGAGCGACGAAAGCTAGGTGGACTGTAATGAACGAGTTTAGCTGCTAACCTTTCTGTCTCTTTCCCAGGTACTTGCAGAACAATCCGTCTGAGACAAAAAAGCGTCGACCCGAGACGGACAGGGGCACCGTAGCCTGCAAGTGTTTCGTTTTTCAGGATTCGTGGGTATGGGTGCATCAATAAAGGGTTCTATTAACGAGACGTGGTGTCAATGAAGGACGCAATAATGCCAGCAGAATCTAGGGTCGTCGCATACGGAAGTGTTGCAGATACATTTTGCTCTATGCAGGTTGGCTTGAATCATCTTGTGTATATGGATGAAAAATTCGCAAGACATAGAGATGTGTCTGTGCGAACTTGAGGTGTGTGCGACCCTGACCTTGTCAAGGAGGTCACATAACATGGACTTAACCATAGTGCAACGATCGAGCTCACGCAGATACTTGACGCGGTCAGTGATGACGCTACACTGCAATGATATGCATGAAGCCTTGCTGCATTGCCATGAAACAGGAAACTCTGATAACCGAAGAAACGGGTTCAGGGCTCGGGAGTCGAAGAATGCTGCAGTTCTGGCGCATCGTAGCGCTGTGGTCATCACGGTTTAGCTTGACATAACCCCTGCTTGGCTGAGGCTTATAGAGCACTCCACAAACCCCGACCGCATCCGAAAGCAGAAGATGATGCGCTGGGGCCCCGGGCGAGCTGCTCTGGCTGTCGCTTTTCATGGCTCATGGATGCCTGTCGCTATTGCTACACCATTCCTCAGAGTAGAACTCGGAGTTCCGTCGAAATGCAGGCCCTATAAACCGTTCGGGCACCTCTCAAACTTGCTCGTAGAGCACTGAACCCTGTCGTCCCTATCCATCACTCCGGTCCGAAGTGCGAGTCGCTGTGAAGCCACCAGGAGCGATCGCAGACGTCTGGCAAGGTCAGATTGATGACAGCAACCAGGCGTTTCTGCATGTTTATGCACTCGGTCTTGGTGAATGTTTCTGATTTCTGAGTCACGCTTCAAGAGGCATTTAGATGTTGGCACCGGCTTTCTCACTCCCCGCTCCGGAAGCCTTTGCACCACAGGACTTTGCCAAGAGAATGAAAGCCCCGGGCTCAAGCGTAGCTCGGGTCGATGCATATTTCGGGGCTCCTGTAGCTCGTATGCAGCCCGGTTCAGGAGGCGCTATGACTATCAATGATGACGTCCCTACTAGCGCCATGATTTCCTGGGGTCGTAGAAGCTACTCGTAGTACAAGCAGCGGAAGCACCAGCAGCTGCAGCAGGAGGGCATAGGAGGGCGAGTGTTGTGGCTACGGCCGCCCGTTTCAAGCTGTTAGTGATACGACATGACATAACGCTTACTGACATGAACTGGTTCTTCATCCGCAACATCTTAGTACCTGAGATGGTTTGACACGGGCCTCAGCTTGTTCAGCTAAGGACTTGGAGCAGGAGCCCGAGTTCGAGGAGCTGCCAGCACCTTACATTTCAGAAGTGCTTCGGGTTTTGCACCCCGGCATGCGAACTCCCAAGCTGCCTCCGAGGTTCAAAGCTGTGAAGGACTATCAGGTTCAGCAGGCCTCGGGCCTTGGATTTCATGTTTTCTTTTCTTGCCATCATGACATGATTTATATGACCGTCGATGCATGCATGCATACGTGGCGGTGCGGGGGAACTGTTAGCTAGTGGTTGCCGAGGCATTGTTGATTTTGTACGTTCCTCGAGCCTAATGTCATGTAAAAGTTGGCATTCTGTTTGCACCTTGGCGTGGGAGTCCCAATGCAGCCTTGCACTAAAGAGTGTAGCTGCAGACATTTGTCTACGGCAGGACAGCTAATCAACTGTGGTATGATGGATACCGGATAGCTTGCGAAGTAGAGTGTATAGTGGGAGTTGATGGTCCGCCCCTTCGTTTAGCAGCACCGATTGCGGCGTGTCGGTCCGCAGCGAAACTGTCTATGTGGCAATTTCACAGCTGTATATGTAGATTCGCCTAGGATAAAGACTTTGTGGATGCCGATTCAGCCCAGCACTGCGACCGATGGCAGATCCGACAGTATCTGGATGACAGCGAGCTCATGCAGAAAATTAGCGCCAAGATGGGAGGTGCCAGACACCCAGCTTCGTTCGGACGTCCATAAACGCCATGAATACCGGGTCAGCCGGGTCATGAGGTCTGGATATGTCTTGATGGCTCCAGGAGTTCCTGCTAAATGTCAGAGACCAGCAGACGCCAGCTTTTCAGGTCCCGGAGCAGGCGAAGCCGCAGTTGGAGAGTCTGCGAAAGACGCCGCCGGGAGCCCGGATGCTGCCTAGCTGCTACTAGCTGCTACCAGCTGCCTAGCTACTCTTCAGGGTTCACTGATCAGAACCGGTCGTTGGCCGTTTCAGGACAGGATATAGATGTCTTGGGGGGAGCTCAGCTCTCGCTCACCATGACTTTAACCTAGGTGTTGGATGCGTCAGTCCCACCAACGATGTCGAGGATCCTGGAAAGCCCATCTCGCCGTCTGTCATTGTCGTTATGTTTCAGAGGCTGTCGGGCCTTCTGCCCCCCTATGGGCTGAACCTCAACTAGCCAGCCCCCTTGAAGCGCCTGAAGGCTGACTCTTCAGGAGGCTGGTCTGCCCTGGATCAAGCGTGCTGGATCGTGAGCTGTCTTCATGTTTGGCAGCGCAGTTCGCAAAGCTTGCTAGGTGCCGGGATTCAGGGGATCCGTGCTAACGAGCGGCTCTTGTGCTGACCCGCTGCCTGCCGGCATGGAAAGTTTCGGCAAAACCAACAGCAACTCTTTGACTCGTCCCGAGATCTTTCGGTAGTGCCGTCCGAAGCCCTTTCCCCAAGGCGCTGAGCCCCTTAGAGGACTGACCCCTCCGCAGCTGGCCACCCCTGCACAGAGGTCGCACACAGAGCCGCTGATGTAATGCAAACACAGCAGATGTCTTTTCCAACGGTCATAGCCACAAAGAAGATCACTACTAAACCGCGAACAAGAGCAAAGAACAGTAGGATAAACAGAAGCTCTTAACAGTCTCAACCCTTAAACTCCAAGACCTAAACCCCTCACAAACCCTTGAGACAGCTGCAGGACAACACATTCAGTTCTGCACGGCAGGCCTGCAAGTTCGGCGATCTGGACGCAGTGAAAAATTACCTCACGGAGTCGGGGCCTCGGATACAAAAACTCTCGGTGTTCCGGTGAGCTGAGGCCGCAAGGCGTTGATATTTCAGGCTTAGGCTTCGGCGGAAGTTTGGCTATGTTTGACCATCTAGGGTTTTTCGAATTCAATTTCAATGTAAAATGGAGCCGTCTGCAAGCCTCGCGACAAAGTTCTACTGCAAGTTTCAGGCGCATGCATTGCATGTTGCTGTTCACATTCTGCTGCTCGTGACAAGGACGGACAGCCACCCCGGCAGCCGTGATCTAGAAGCCAAAGACCAACGTGGAGTAACATGTCTAGGCAGGGTCGGGTTCGTTTGCCCCGAGCTGAAGTCTGAGAGATCTGCAGAAGTTCGTGCGCTTTCCGGAAGTCCGCTCTTTGCATCTTCCGTTGCTCCGCGGCCTGCAGGTTTCAACATGTTAGCGACTGTCAACCGCAAAGGGAGATGGCAGCTCGGAGTAGCCCGCAGGATCACTTTGTTCTTTGCAGGTTATGCTGTGGGTGCTGACCGCATGCCGATTACCCAACTCTTAGTCGAGGCGGGGAAGGGAGCCCAGCAAACTCCCACCTTGACGATGTGACGGAAAAGAGGATAGGAATCTCAGAAGGGATGGACAGCGTCGGGTGTGGTATTGTCCATCGCTTCGTTTTGGAGCAAGGGCCAGCATGGAGGGCAATGAAGGGCATTAAGGCTTGTTTCACTTCCAAGATTGTGCTGACGCCGAACCGACGTGACCGTACGACATATCAAGGAATGTGTCTTCCACCCCCGAAGGGTTCTCTCTTCAGATCACCTCGGAATTCGGACCAAGAGATGCGTTCGTGTTTTGCCCTCGTTTCTGCCTGTGCAGGTCAAAGCTGATCCTTGGCCGCAGTGTTGGGTCTGGCAGGGTGGGTAGGTGCGTTTTGGTCGGTGTGGCCCGCCCACTCGTTTTCTTCGCTACTGAGTAATATTAAATGCGTGCCTGACATCTTCCGTTTCAACAAGAAGATGCTGAAAGTTGGATCAGGTTTTCGGAGCTTTCTCCAGTATGAGAAGTTCAGGACCTCAATTGCGTGGACAAGGCCGACAACAGCAGCCTCCACTATGCTGCGGGCTATGGCCGCCAGGACCTGCGACATACTGTCTTCCCAGCGGCCTGAAAGTCTTCCAAACCTGGTAAAGAAGGAATGCGACGTAGGTGTCTGTCACCGCAGACAATCGCTGAACTCAGTCAGACCTTTCTGGGCAGTGTCTGTTAAATCCTAGACTCTGGACCTATGTAAGACTTACAAAGCTACTCCAAAAGGCAGCCAGTAGATTCCGAAATGGACAAGGTGAGACACAAACATGCACGCAGAGCTGGCATTTTGCAATCTGTTTCGCGGGCGCATGGTCCGGCCTGTTGTATCAGGAGATTCTGGAATATCTTCTGAGCCAGAAGGCTAACCTCAACAAAGAGAACAGCAGCCAGAGGCTCATTGGCCAACCTGGAATCTGTTGGCCAGATGACATCACAAGAGACCGTCAGTAGTTGAGGCCAAGCTCCAGGCCGTAGGCGGTGGTTGCTGGATAAGTGGCGGTTACAAGATGTAGCATGGGATACCAATGGTTCTCGTTAAATGCCGAGCCTTGTCCAAACCTGTATGGGTTGATACTCTCATTTCTAAACATTACTGGCAGACAGCACGTCCCGACACGCAAGAGCCTCTCTGGTGCGTGGAGACTCTTGCCTTGCTCACCTTGTACAACCTCACGATCGTTCATTCGCGGTTAATCCTGCCGCTGATGAACAACCTTAACATACCTTAACTCTCGTAATTTTCGAAGACCAGCCTCCTTTCGTCATTTTGTCTTTGTCTTTGTTGTTGTTGTTGCTGCTGCTGTTAGTCCTCGTTCCATGTCATCCAGAATGTCAACAATTGTCGAGAAGGATTTCGGACCCTGCGGTGAGCCTGAGTATCACTGGGCTTCGAAGAAAGCTGAAGGAGCAAAGCCGTCCCGCTGAGAAGTCAGAAGCGATACTAAGACTGCGCAGTCTGGACCACCTTTCAATCACGCAGAAGTCTTCCGAGGTGGCCAAACCCCCCTCGCAGTGGCCATCAAGAACGAGCAGCATGCGCCTCAGTGTGCGACAGGGCGGGAGTAGTGTTTCTGGTAGATGGCATGGGAGGCGCCATACGTAAGCCTGGTTTCGGGCCCTGGCATAGCCCTCTGAGTAAGCCTCACTCACCTTGGAGCGCTTCCTCGCCCATGGACTGGGATTCTGGAACTGCGGCTGAGCTTCACGCGCTCATCCTGTGGACTTTATGAAAGCATGCATGGCCTTTGTTTGCCAAGGTTGAAGATTGTGGAGCTGCTCAAGAGCAAGGGTGCCAAATGAGGTAGAGATCTTGCAACAGCTCCACAGAGTAACAAGCACACTCAAATAAGTTTCTACATGCCTCGTTTTGTCTTCCCGCCCCGGCGCAACCGCGAGCATAAAGGGGCTCGGACTGCGTCTTCCGCGAGCAGGGGAAAATGTTGCCCAGAGACTCGTGTCAGCTACTTGACTCAACAATTTCATTTCGTCACTGTTGGAAAGAGATGTGGAAGCTGCGCGATCGAGTGGAAGGGGGTTCCTGGGACCTAATCTGCCTGCATCCCGGCTTCCCGCACACAGCTCACTGACTCGTGCTTTCGGCGCACAATTCGACACACTACGCTCGTCGCATTCTTGTCGCCTTTCCTACGGCAGTAGCACGGATTGAAGAGTGCTCCCGAGTAGTATGTACAGAAAACGTTTCTGTAAACGACAATCGCCGGCCATCGACCGCTAATGTAGCAGTCCTTTCAAGGAGGAAGGAGAGTAACAGCGCAGAACAATCAACTAAAGCAGCAACCCGCTGCCACCACCCCCCCCCCCACATATCTGCACCAACATCAATCAACGTTAGCATCGGCAACGAGGACGAGTAGAAGCAGGAGGAGCTAGGACCGTTAGTAGGAGGAGGAGGAGGAACGAGCGCGAGGCCCACAGCTACAGCCACAACAGCAGCAACAACTTCGAAGACACCGATGTCAACATCTAATATCGACGGTCGTAACCGCAACAGCTGCCACTGGCAGCACCAGCTTCAGTAGCAACCGCAGCAGCAGCAACAGCAGCAGCAGCAACCGCACCAGCAATAGAGCCAACAACAGCTCAACAGGCGCTTCGCGCCGTAACAACATCATCAGCAGCCGCAACCGGCAGCACTAGCAGCAACACCCGCCACAAAAAACAAGGCAACGACATAAAAGCAACGTCGCCTTCTATCACCAAAGCACAGGCTGCAGCCATGCAGCGCTTGAACCAAGCCATTCATTATTCAGACTTTCTATATTCTGACATTGCGACAACGGCAGCAGCCACAATGTTCTATTCTAACTACTGATGTCCTTGGAAACTGAAGGCTGCATGCTTGCTTCCAGACCTGAGAATCTGTTTGAGGCTCAAGGTTTCAGCAAAACACTTTCATGTACTGTTCCTCAGCGTCTTACAGTGGTGGTTCTGTACTACCCCCAAACAGTAAGAGCACCAACAGAGTGCATGCCTGCTTCCGGGACACATATCACACTGTTTGAGGAATACATGCAATGCCATGAACAGCAGAAACAACGACAACGACAGCAACGATGGCAAGGTATCAATCATAGAAAAGCAAGACTCCATGCAGCTACCACCTTGTGGCTCTTTTGCGCTTCCAAAGGAAGCGTGCTGGAAACAACCTGATCGCTGTGCGGGCACTCAGTGAAGTGTCCGGACTTGTAGAAAAAGCCTCCAGGATGGCATGCAGGGCTTCTTCGGCTGCAGGGATATCTTGTTTTATTTTGTCTGACAGTGACAGCACTCTCGTTTCTAGACTTTCTAGACTGATTCAGCAGACGAGCGGCTAGGATCCCGACCTGGCTGCAGGAAGCATGCCACGCCCATCGAAGCCCTGAGGGCCTCGGCCCATATACTCCCAAGTGTGCGACCATCACCCTCTGATGTCGGTCTGAAATCAAGCTCTCAACCGGGTTGTCTATGCCAATTGGTCCCAAGCCCGTTCCTTAAACAGTAGCTGCAGTAGCTAGGAGCTAGACAGTATCTCGGAGCCCCAGAGAAGCGCTGAAACTTCGCTTTTCTGGTGTGAAAATGCTTGAAGGCCATGGACTTGTTGGCGCAGCCATGGGTAAGGTGCCGAGCGACCGATCAGCTTCTGTAGTTACACTGTAGTCTGTGTTAATGTCGAATTCAGACACCCAGCAAGCGGAAACTGGGGCTGTGGAGCATCCTTTCAGTTTTTGGGCTCCGCAGGGTCGGTCGGTGTCAGGCTCAGTAACTCTCCGGTATTTGGGGTCTTCCAGGCTGCGGAACTACAAAGGTTTTGAAGTATTCTAGCAATCCTCGTTGCACTGATTCGGCTTCAGCCAAATACTGGATTCCCCGCATTGCTTTGAAGTTTTGGCTTCCCGTTCAACAATGCGAGATCGTTAAGGTGTAGGCACTCAGTGCCTGCGAGGGCTACGGACCTACTGTTTAGCTTTGTGCTTTAGCTCTGACTTTAGCTGGCTGCCTTTCAGTCTCCCATGCCTCGCGAGGGGGCCTCCTGCTTACCGCGACGAGCTGCAAAAAGGAGACAAAGTATTTCTTCGACAAGCTAACAGGCTCGTGATTTCGGCCTTCAGACAGATGTAGGCTAGGTGTGTAGAGCTGCAGGCCGAAGCGATATTTCTATTCTAGGGCAGCACCAACAGCGACCAGCCGTGCACCATTCTTTTTTGGTGTGGCTGAGTTGTCCAAAGACTTATGTAAAGCTGCAAACTGTTCCGCACGATATGACTTGAATCTGTGACACTGCCAACCTTCTCGTAGTGTCACGGCATTTTCCAGCCTGGGTGAGCCTGTCAACTATTGTGTGGTTGTCAATAGTATGGCCTCCTCACTCTGTCGAAGCGTTCAAGTCCAAGCATTGCAGGAGCTTGGCAAAAACCTGCACATCCACCTTCTTGCTGTGGGCCGGCTACGACTGACTACTACTGTACGACTGCTACTGCTGCTCTTCCTACTGCTAGTGCTAGTGCTGTCACTGCTGCTGCTGCTGCTGCTCTGCTGCTGCTGCTGCTGCTACTACCACTACTACTATTACTACTGTACTACTACTACTACTACTACTACCACTACTACTACTACTACTACTACTACTACCACTACTA